GTGGTACGAGCATCCTTAACGAAGGTAAAGTTACTTTTTCTCTACATTGATTAAATAGTTTGTTATTAAGATCTGTTGGGTATTTATTTTCTGTGTAGTATAGCAATTGGTTAAGGAGACACGGTAGTCTAGTGGTAGGACGCCGGGCTCGTGACCGAAGGGGTGTGGGTTCGAGTCACGGCACGGCACTGTGTTGTATCCTTGAGCAAGATACTTTACTCCGCTTGTTTCAGTCTACTCAGCTATAAATGAGTACGTTGTTGGGCGGTGCTAGAATTGTTGAATGCTAGCTGTGAGCCCCAAAATGGCAGCACCGGCTGTATGCTCCCCAGGGAGTTGAGAAAGATATTGGCTGCTTGCAAAGGATAATAACCGCGGATAATAATTTGTGAACCGCTCTGAGACGATTTAAAGCGGTATATAAGAACATCGAATTATAATTATTAGTGATATTCAAACAACTGGTATATACGTATTGGTATCGGCTAAAAGATTTTAATGTACAAGATACAAGTAATATTACAGAAGAAAGTGTATTTCGTTTTCAATATACGTACGCTGCTTATATCGTCTATTGCTGGAGGAATCAGTAATCGACCTGTCATTCCGCCTTTTCACGATCTCAGGCGAAAGAAAACCATGTTCATTTTTACCGAAAGTCTCTTCAAACTAAAAAAAATAAAAATACTCAGAACACCTTAGTTTAGGTCCAAATATAGCGGTAACAAACTATCAGGTTCCTGTGTTCCACACTACCAGAGAAACCTCGTTAACCACCCAGGAATTAAATCATCTCCTTTAGCGTACAGTTACAAATATGTACGTAGAATATCTAAAGCTTTTGTTTTACCAGTTTTACATATTTATGTGAAGAAACCCACATTTTGTTTTTTGAGTTCAATTTCATGGGTCTAAAACTACGTTAGCTCAACGAGTTTGTCATACGAAATTCTACCAATACCAACGATGGAAAACTTGACAACTGACAACTAGTTACGTTAGCACGTCCGTTACGTAGCCGTGACGTACATGCGAACATCAAAATGTGAGTTCTACCACGTTTTTGTTCATATTTTCTGATAGGATTACAATCGACGAACAATTTCTGAAAAAAAACGTGCACACTTTGAAGAAACGCAGATTCCTACAGATTCTTGTCTGTTGGTTTTAGGTGTTTCAGGTTTTAACATATTGTTTTCAATACCTTTGACAGCGATTTCAACATAACATTTTGTTTACATTATCAACAGTTCCGATTTCAACATAACATTTTTTCACTTTTAACAGTGCTGATTTAAGTGTGATATTCTTTTTTAACACTTTTGACAGAACCGTTTTAAACATGAGATTTTTTTTTACACTTTTGACAGTGCCGATTTCAGCATGATATTGTTTTCAATACTTTTGACAGTGCAAATCTAACATATTATTTTCAACATTTTTGACAGTGCCGATTTAACATCATATTATTTTTCAATACTATTTTGACAGTGCCGCTTAAAACAAAATATTATTTTCAATACTTTTGACAGTGCCGAATTAGGTATAACATTATTTTAATACTTTTTACAGTGCCGAATTAGGTATAACATTATTTTAATTCTTCTGACAGTGCCGATTTATCCATTAGTAAAATCTATCAATACTTTTGACAATGCCGATTTAGGTATAACATTATTGTAATACTTCTGACAGTGCCGAATTAGGTATAACATTATTTTAATACGTTTGACAGTGCCGATTTATCCATTAGTAAAGTCTATCAATACTTTTGACAGTACTGGACATCATGTGTTATTTTACTTCAATATCCTGTTACATGTTATTACCTAGACTATAAAATGTAAAGGCTAAACACCAAAATAAGATAAATGTGATGAAAATTATGTGATATATATATATTTCATGATAAATGCGGTAAAACTTATTTGATAAAAATAATGTGATAAACATATTGTTATTCTTAAAACAATAGAAAAACAGACTTGTCTTCATTGAATATGATAATTATATCATTATAATCATTATTAAGATGGCTGAAGTTTACGTTAAGACCCTAAAATAAATATACGGTGTCCCCTTTTCAATGCTGTTGGAGAATCCATATCTTATTCAATGGAGATACAAGGAATTATTAACAAGACTTCATATATAAAAATAAATCGATGGATATCAAACGCATACACTTAAAATGTCATGTAATTACTAATTAAAAGCATTGCTTTGTGTGACATTCCATCAAAAAAATGTAAAATAAAAAGATCAACGCAAAATTACATAAGATACAGAAAAAGCTATAAAGTGTTAATATTTGTATGTAGGCTAAAAGAAAAACTGGGCTTTCAGAAGCGAATGTGTTGTAGGCCTAGGGTTGTGTCAATACTAGATCTGACATGCACGGCAGTTTACTGTGCACGCGTGCCAAGTGTGACCGAGCTAAGTCAACATTAACACGTTATACTTAAAAGTACATCAGTTCTAAAACAAGCATATCCGTTACTTGCCCGTGGGTAGGGAAGAAAAACTAACGAAATACCCCGTTACTGCCCCGAGGACGTTCCGCAACCCAGGAAATTGCATAAAAAGATATCCCGTTTTAACATCGAAGATCCCCGATTACAATTTACTTAGAAAATGGACTGTCAAACACAAATGAATGAAATCCCCCTGATAGAATGCCTGTCTGGGCGAGGTAGAGACATGATAAGGGACGCTCTGTACCCCGATTAGATGACATCTTTCGCTAATGGCCCCACGTGCGCACGAGGTGAGGAACACCTGAGATATAATCCGCTGCCTGGAGACGGATTTATGTATCCGGATACAGCTGTGCGTTCGTCTCTGTAAATTCCCCACTATTAGCATCACACTGCCCCCTCTCACCTACGAGGTTTCATTCAATCTTTCAAAATCGTCATTAATCAGAATTTCTAATTAATTATAAATCGAAAATATAACTTTCTCCTGTTCTTCATTCCGAGATAGATGCGATGATAAATTTTGATTAAATTCGTTCCGTTTTAATAATCGCTGGAAGGCCGAGACTGATTAATGACAGTTCCGTATAATTGTAGCAGCCACCGTTTTACCGCTTATTTCACGTGTCTTGATCAGATCAAATAGAGAAACCCCATAAGCATATTTTTAACAAATTTCAATGAATAATTTAAATTAATAAATTATTGACAGATCAAGGAAAATGTTTTTTCATTCTCAATTTTCTTCCTCTGCTTCAATTTCCTCCTAATTTTTCACGGAACATAGACTCACGAATGCATGACATATATATATAATATCTGGATGATATCATTGAATCCTAAAACACTGGCATGACATCATGCTATCTGAATTTCGATGAAATTGACGACAGGTGTGAATCGAGTTAAACTACAATCTCAAACTGCTCCGTCAAATACGGTATTGCTGTTGTGTCCACATAAAGCTTTACCGTGAAACATTCAATATCTCTTTTAACACCGCGCTTTATAATCAATGAACGTTTTCACCCAAACCGGACAATGGGACAACAAACTAAATATAATTCTGATCAATATTGGGCCGATCGAGGTTTTATGTATCGCTTTGGGGTTGATTGTGGCCTACTAGACCACGTGCGCCCCTCAGCCAGAGCTGGAGTGGAGACTGTTTTATATGAGAGCATTTTAAACGATTTTAATCGAAATAGGATATTCGTCAAAGTACTTTTACAACCGTTTGAATTTGTATCTAGGCTATTTGCTTATGTGTTCTGTTATAAATATGCAACGTACATTTATTAATCATATCTTTCTTCATTACATATTTCCAATAAAACGTGCATTTTTAACCTGATTGACTTAACGGTGGTAGTGTAATTTCTTTGAAAATAACATTCTAAAATCCAAGACGGCACAGATCGATGCATCGATTGAGCTATTAATAATTATACTAGCATCAACCTTCAAATATAGTCTTTTCGACCAATGAAGATAATACAGACATAATATGATTTGACAATTTTCCGTGTATAGTAATACTAAAACTTATACTATAACACAATCGAACGTTTAAATAGTATTACCTGAATATCTCTGTCTTTGATGCGGGTGTAATGAATCACCATGATAGACACTATTACATAGCTATGAATACCTACACCACATGAAAGTGTTAAACTTTTATGAACGGACCACCCGTAAGACATTGGAAAGCGTCACCAGACACTGTATAGGGAGGATTGCTGTTAAGTTCATTCAACACTTGAGTCTAAAATATGATATAGTAAAGTCAGTGTGTGACAGTTAGTTATGGAGCAAAAAAATGTACGTTTTTAATTGATTCGGATATTGACAACGCGTCAGGGAAAAAAATAACGATGAAAAAAATGTAGATGTTGCATGGGTTTTTTTTATCAGAACTCTGCAAAAAATTGTCATATTTTTAGGATAATTTATTTAGCATTTCGTTAATCTTTCCGTCAATGTGATTGACAACCATGAAACTGATATCATTTGTAGGTTGAAATAATGTAAACATTTTAGTAATCTGCGTAATTATCGAGCATACATTTTATCATACATGTGGGGAAATTATCAATTGAGTTTTGAATTATACATCATGTCAAACAAACGCTTTAACAAGACGCAATATTTGCCGAGTGACAGTGGGCCGTGTTTGGAGGTTTACATACTTTTTAAAGCAGGCGAGAAACGTTTATACGAGAGTCTATGGCCATTAATCAGCGTTACTGATACGACACACGGGTGTATGTTGATGTTTGGTAATTTTGGGAGTAAGCGTGTTTAGGACTGTACTCGTATTTGCTCGGGGCATACTGAATGAGGAGGTTTATACTTTCAATTGACAGACAGACCGTTCGATCAGGCGACAACAAAAACTTCCTCGCAGTTCAATAATGGGCGGAGCTTAGTACCGTCACGGCCGATACCAGTGGTACTTGTGGTAAATTTGCATACGGTGGGCGGTGCCTAACACTTTGTTGGTCCAGGTACATTGTATATTTACCCGAGGTCAAGCAAGTTTGCTGATATCGTTGGCGTTCGTTGTCGAGTGTTGTACAATATACTACACCGTATTCTGTGTGTGTTTAACGTCCAGTGTATACAGATGTACGAAAAACAGCCTCTCGGACCTGAGTGTCCACAGTCCGGGGACTATCTGACTATGTTGTCTACCAAATCTCCGTACGATGCAGTCAGCGGCAGCAACTACCCGACCTCTCTACCCAGCATGAACAGCATCGGGAACATGGGTTCGATGTCTACTATGGCCATGAGCAATGTGAGTTACTCGCCCCCGGCCATGGGAGGCATGGGTACCATGACACCCCCGGGGATGACAAGTATGGGGATGGGCGCACCTATGGGCATGCCCGGGGGTATGCACGCGGGAATGAACTCAATGAACTCGATGAACGGGATGTCGGGGATGACCAGCATGGGACAAATGCCTATGAACGGAATGAGTGGCGCTATGTCTCCAATGCGGATGGACACGTTTAATAGGGCACAGGCTATAAACCGGGCGAGAGACAAGACTTACAGACGGAGCTACACTCACGCCAAACCTCCATATTCCTACATCTCACTAATAACCATGGCCATCCAACAGTCGCCAAACAAAATGAACACTCTCAGTGAAATTTACCAGTTTATCATGGATTTGTTTCCGTTTTACCGCCAGAATCAGCAACGCTGGCAAAACTCTATCCGACACAGTTTGTCCTTCAACGACTGTTTTGTGAAAGTTCCAAGGACCCCGGATAGGCCTGGGAAGGGCAGCTACTGGACTCTACATCCTGATTCAGGAAATATGTTCGAAAATGGATGTTACCTCAGACGGCAAAAACGTTTCAAATGTGTGAAAAAAGAAATGATTCGTCAGGCGTCCCGCCCCGGGGAAGACGGAAGTGAAGGCTCGATGTCGCCCCGGGATGATCCCTGCTCGCCTCCTCCTCCGTCTCCCCCCGGGAATGTGCCTGTGACCCTAACCGAGACGAAGCGGGAACCACTGCAGCCGATCGAGCACACCCCTCCTCCACTTCCTCCTTCTCAACACCCGCAACAGGCGCAGCAGCCCCCTCAACCCCCGCCCGTGTCCCTGGGCCACGAGATGCCGCCACACTCTATGCGACACATGCAGCATGATCCCATCCACCAAGGATATCACCCCCATCACAACCCCACCCACTCATTCAACCACCCGTTCTCCATAAACAGTTTAATCACCGATAACAAAATGGACCTTAAAATGTACGAAATGCAGAGTGGTTATGGATACAACCCCATGGGACTCCCGATGATGGGAGGCAAAGACTCTATGGGGGTAGGGCCCATGCAGCCCGCCCCTGACGGCTATTACAAGACATACGCACCCCATTCAACGGCGGCATTATGACTAGAGCTATGAAGAGACTGTTATGACAATGTTTTATAATTGAAGACAGGAACAAATGCTACATACCAAAGATTTAAATGTTTAATTGTTCAGAAATTATTATGGAGACTATTTTGTTTGTATTTGAACTCGCGATGTGTATGTGATTGACAAGTGGTGAAAATGTGTTCGAACCTAAATCACGTTTTTTGTACTACGGATCTCGCTCTCCTTGGATGTGTGTGGACGCGCGACTGCTTGGGAGTATTTTGGACCCGTTATAGGGATTGAAGGTTACGTGACTTTACCAATATTTTTCCCTGGGAGGTATAACTATAATTTAGTGTTAATTTATTTCGTATGAACAAAACTTCTAGTGTTGAACATATCTGTTAAAATGGATTTCTAGAGCGGTAATCTGTAGCTTTCTCTATTTTAAATGTGATCAGTCAGTCCGACAACTTATGTGAGTAGTACATCTGCATGGCCGCTTTTCTACCTGAACTGTGAGCTCTTTATCATTCAAATTTATATATTATGATATATATATTTAAGAGTTATTATTTTTGCTGTTGTAGATAATGGTTCGTAAGAATTATACTATTTTCCAGATATTTTGTCTTTTATTTATTATTTTCCATATATGGTAAACATATTGGTGACGTCTTTCCGTATGCGTCAGATGGAATTCTTTCCCTTTTCTTACATGGGGAAAAAAGGGGTTCGTCCTTTTAGGTTAAAGCAGAGGTGACCGTTCGGTATGTGTCGGGGTGGATTGGGCCTAAGTCCAAGTCAGGCCGGATACCAGCGGTCACTGTTGCTACGCATACAAAGCGGGCGGACTCTATATCTGAGATTGAAGGAGATACGGTTTGATAAATGTGTCCAGTGACAGATTTACCCTAACTCTACAAACCTTCAACTCAGTCTGCCGGTAAACTTGCTCATTTTTAGCTAATATATATCCTCAAACTCGGAAATACTGTTATACTAAAGGTCGATTGGGTAAGCGCGCTGACTGTCGAATTTTCACTTTCTCGGGTGGATTTCGCGTCAAGTTCCATGTGTACAGGGGCCGAGGTGGGACACTTTCCTACCTAAACAAATATTTTGTCATTACATTTTAGCGTTCATTCACTAACTCGAGATTTATCTGTTAGGTTAGTGTGTTTGGGCTCTATTTTAAATGTTTATATTACCGAGGCTCTGGTTTTTTACACCCGGATTGATAGTTATTCACAAAAAGGGGTGTTAAATATTAAAGAAAGAAATATAACAATTATCAAAGGATTCTTAAAACAAACTTCTCGGGGCAATCTTTTTGGAATTAATTTGAATGAATAAGGATCAGTACTTATCTGGTTTGCGCTACAAAAACATAACAGTTTGAGCGAGTCCTGACTTTCAGGTAAGATATTCTCAGGCGTGGAGATGAGCCGCTACTAATCTACACACGCGGAGTCCCATTTAATTTAGTGAAGATTTATTCTACGAATTAGAAAAATAATCTACTTTGAAAAAACACATACGCATTGGTTTGGAGATTTACACACAAGATAAATACTGTATTTTCATAATAACACATTGTATAGATTCGGATCACGGCAGTACTCAGTCATTGATTGGTCTGTATTTAGCATTGTAAAATGATCTCTGTTCAAACAATACATTCATTAACTGTATGTAATGTATAGCGCGTTGAATAGATCGAAGTAATTAGCTTGAAAAAAAGTAACGTCTGTTTACTGTCCTACCAATAATTATATAAAACACACTTTCACATACACGGCAAATGACTGGTAAACCCGACGACAATCCGTTAATTGTTTTATTAATTGGTGATCTGGCAATTTCATTGTACTAATTAATATACCAGTAGTCCGGGGAGTGAAGCTTGATAACAGTATTATTGCAAAACTTATTTCATTACTTCTGTAGTATTAGACTTGAAGCAGGGTTTTTTTGTTCAGGATTTAATTTGAATTTAGCTTACAATACATTTATTTACACCTGAATTTTATTTAAAAAGAATATCGCTATTGAAATACTTATAGTCTATACTTTCAGTTATGTCATTCTACGAGTAAGAACATTTGAGGTGTTACGTGTACATTTATATTCACGAAACCTTTTTAATGATTTGTATCTTTTTCAAATATACGGCGTTTCAATTTCCAAATTAATTCCTCACTAATTCAATACCAGGTAATGCCGCGCTGTTCACAGAAAAGATTCCCTGATAAAATTAGCATGCTACGCTGTGTTGTCTAACTCGTCATCATTAAATTACATTGTAATGGTATTCGGCCACAAACATGCAAACGTTAAATCATCATCTTCTTGGTAAATTTGATTAGTAAACAGCCGAATGGCATTAAAAAGGTAAGCGGGTGTCAGTCACGGGATGTGTGGGTTGGTGTTAAGTTGTGGATTTATACATTCTGACAAGCATAGAAATGAAACAAAACTTTCTTAATTCATCAACAAATTTGATATTCGAAATAACTTTCTGATTTCTTTTTCCGACGTTTGAAGAATTTATAAATTGACACTTATCGAAAAGTTTGAAGATTTTTAAATTTACATTGAGATGGAAATAATGGTATATATACGTTTAATGTGTAACATTATTTAAGTTTTAGACATCAGTAAATAATTAGACAACTGGTTTGTCTGCTCTTGCTTATAATTGTAGTGCTTTGCTTCCAAGGACAACACTCGTTCCGTGAAAATGTGAAGTTTATTTGTTTAAATATTTGTCATATTTAGGCAAATATTGTTAAAATTTTTACAAATAGAAATCAGTTTCATGAATTGAAATACGAAAGATTATCAAACAAACTTGGGGCTCATGTATTATGATTTAGTAGATTATGAAAACAGTTGTGAGTATATGATTAAGTCAAAGTAACATAGTTTAAGAACACGATGCAGTTTCAGAATTAACCTTTATTTTTGAGCGTTGAATTATGTTATCAAATACATTTGGAGTCGGGGGAAAAACATTTACTGAGGAAAAGTTTCAAAATCGGTTTAATAAAGGCCGATTAATAAAATAAATAAATACATAAATTACATCAGCAAATTTAGACATTCATTTTAAACAGTATTTTATTGAGAAGTAAAGCAATAAAATGATCATTGAGAAATAAACAAAGAATTAAGTAACTTTGGATTTCTTCCATTTTACTGTTAATTATAATAACCCAAATAAATAACGATAAAATCTGCGTTATTAACACATTTGTCTCACTGATAAAACACATGTGTAATAACAGAATTGTAACACATTCTACACACACAGACACATGTAAGTACATTATGGAACAGGATTGGTGACTTTACACACCTGTGTAATTTTGTGAGGATGGACTATTAGGGTATGTGACGAACCACAGCACTGTGACTGGCTCTACAAATATTACCATGTACCACGATATATAACTAGCTACGTACACGCACCGCGTTATCTGGGTTTGATTCAGCTTAATACTTGGACTAAGTTGAAAATCTGAAACACTGTTTACGACAAAAACATCTCACCAGAGACAGGGTACTGGGGCCTCATAAGTTTTAATAAATTGGAACCAAGAATTTAAACATACAAATGTACTTTAGAAGAAATATTATTTGTATTCAAGGAAATTAACAGGAATTCTTTTACAGCATCTTGAAAATTTCAACGACAATTAAAAGTGTTTGGTGTAATTGTTTTTAAATCGAGCTTAAGTTATGAAAGAAACATTGACCTTTCATTTCGCGTTGCTTGACTGAGGGGTATCTTCTTATTTCTTATAAACATATCATTGATGATTCTTTATCATTACAATGAAGAGCGGTGGTAAAATACTTGAATTGCGATTTTATTGCAATAAAATTTATTTGTTTCCATTTATATATTTTCATGATAACATCTTTTTATGAAGGCCAGACTGATTATTTTTCATTTTAAACATTTAATACGGTCATTCTAATTGATCCATTTTAACTGATTCCGGCGAGGAAAGGATACAGTTGGAAGCATGCAGGACGAGTGACGCTTATATGACAGGTAACACCAGGCCAAATTCTGGGACACATGCTTTATATTTTCCTTGGGATTTAATAAGGATGCCACAACACCTTAAATCAAGACAATATTCCTTCGGGAAAAAAACCTTATAAATCAAAAATGATATTTAGATTAGAACTCTTTCGGGAATCGTTGACTATTAAGTACTGGTTGACACGATTCCTTATGGAAGACGACTCAGGTGTTTTCCGGGTCAAGGTCAGCCGTTTCTGGCCCTCTTCTGTAGAAGGTGTGGTAGGTGCCCCCTACAAGTCTCCGGCTAGCATGTCCCTAGTCCTTCTTTATAACCCAAGTCCGGCTCAAAGTCCTTTGAGATCATTGCGACGCGTTATTTTCTATATAAATCCAATGACTGCCAGCACCGTTTGAGCTATACATATGTTTTTGTATCATTCAAAATTTAAAACGATGCTATTTAAGAGAACCCTTTCTCTAGACAATGGTACAAACTCTCCCGAAATCTTCAGTCCGCCCCCAATGCACAGCTTTGAATGGACCTAGTGAATTGTGACCGTGCTCTGTTGCCCATTTCTCCCATTCTCACCGTCCCGATAGGAAATGTTTGGCCGGGTATTATTCTCAAACTCTATATAGCATTGTTATTAAAGATCTGGTAGTAATCGTACTGGGCCGTGGTGATATGGCTAATTTATAATTTGTTTTTCACACTATGGCTCAATACTAAAAGGAAATATCATTTCTTTATGTGCCAACGATTTGACGCTCGGTTCTAAGTCTCTTTTTAATTTAGCGATTTAAACGTAGTTTTTGTAGCGGAATTGTATCTCAATGTTTTTGCCGAGCGCGTGACGAGACAGGCTACACCCGTCTAGGGAAATCCGTCGTATTTCTTTAGTTCTTTACAAATATGAATACCGGATTCTTCTGTTATTTTCAATAAAGATTTTAAATCTTTTGTTGATAAGCCCTTTAAATGTAGTTTATATTGCTAATGCCAATTACAACCCCTACAACTCGGACCGTAACATCAGAACAAATATTACAAAGACACAGAATTGGATTTCTTCTCAGAACCCATTTCCCTCGCCACATGACGTTGCTAGATCCACGCTGGTGTGGCCAATAGATGGTTGAGCACGTGCAACGGTCGCGTCATACTAAGATTTAAAGTTTTCTTCTCAATTCCCACAAAAACTTAAATATCCAGGACATGAATGTATACTTTTATATTAGGTAGCCTACTTCGCTGTCCTAGTGATATTGACAAGTGTAAAGGAGTGTATTGACCGCCTCCCGAGTAGGTAGCGCTCGATCTACTCCTAGGGGGATCACAGGCATTGGACAACAATGGCAGACGGCTGATGAGACTGAGAGCACTTTTCCCGCCTTCCCGTGCCAGGTTACCGATGGTCACGTGATACTGACATGCCGCGTGCTTTGTGCAGACGATAGAAAATAGTAACAATGGTTGATTATATCATCTTATTGGTGCTTATAAAATTGTACAGCGTTTAAAAAATGTTCACGAGTCTCAAAGGATTTTTATGATAAGTTTTATCAATAAACCGTTCAAAACTCT